GCTGCAAGGAGAAGCTACGCTCTTCTATGGTCCTGAACTCTGGGTAGAGACTGAAAGAAGTAGATCCTGGATCCAGGAGGTCCAAATGAGTTTTCACTGCAGGGTAGCTGGACTCTCCCTTAGAGATCAGGTCAGAGGTTCTGTTCTCCAGGAGAGACTTGGAGTAGAACCGCTGCTCCTCCACACCCAGAGGAGCCAGGTGAGGTGGTTCAGGGATCTGTTAAAGATGGATCCTCCCTCTAGAGGCATGTCCGACTGGGAGGAGACCCTGGGAAGTCCCAGGACATTCTGGAGAGACTACGTCTTTCGGCTGTCCTGGAAACTCCTTGCAGTCTTCTCAGAAGACTCCACTCTTTGCAGCTGATCAGCAGATGTTTGTCGGATTAACATCTGGAGATTATTTTATCGACTGTGTATCCGTCAAGACCGTCCAAAGCGTTCTCGTCATTGTTTGACGGTAAACGTGACTCAGCTGATTTCACTCATTCGTTACAAATTGTGCTGCAGCCTTTTGGAACTGAATGATGAATATTGAGGTTTATTATAGATGAGACACAAATTAAAACAAATAACTCACAAACATTGAAACGTCACGTATTCAAACAGCTGTTATTGTTCAAAAGTTCCTTCTGAGAACCTCGACGTCTTTGTTTGATCCAGTTGACTGTGACTTCAGCGTGGCGTTCTGTTTGTGGTGCTGTAGGAGCTTTTCATCCAGTTAATCCTGAGCTTCTCTTCAGGAGCAGCAGAGTTCACCCGTCACGCCGTTATTCAAATCAAAAGGTGCAGCTCGACTTGGAGCAATGCGCTCCAACTGTCGGTGCTGCTACGTTGAACTGCGCAGGCAAAAAGAGCAGAATCCTCCACAACAGGTCCTCAGTGACGACGAGGAGGTTTTGGAACCTGCTTGGAGCCGCTCAGCTCAAACTTCACAGAAACATTCAGTTCTACAGAAAGTTGGATTTGACAGGACTGAACTGGTGTTTGGAGATCTTTAATGGGTTTTTACTCAACCACAGAGGTTGTTTGAAGGGAGATTTTACCACTAAATGTTCAACTTAATAACGCCACAGGAACTTTTTTACTGAAACAAACTCTTTTTCCTACCACAGTCTTTAAACTTGTAGTACATCGAAGTGTAGACATTTTCCTCGCCTTGCACCCAGTGAGGGTCTCACTGCGACGGGGCTGGTGGCTTTCACTCAAATACCCGCAGAGTGCCGAGTGCACACACCCAAACTCATTAACTCCCACCGTTCAAAGACGGGAAGTGAAAGGTCTTTTTAACTTCTGTGTCCCACGTGAAGCACTGCAGACACATAAAAACAGACGTGTGGTGAAAAGTTGCCTCCGTCCATCACAGTTTGATTCTTTTTCTGTTCCCGTCATTTGTTCCCATGGAAGAGGGGGAATTGGAAATACCTGTTTTTAGATTTCTACATTCGCCTTAGAATCTAGCTGTTTTTTGTTACCTTTTTCTTTTAGCCATCCTATTTGTTAAAAAATAAAAACTGTAGTATGATTTTTTATAATTCTTTATTGTTGTTGCTGTTGTCCATTCTTGTCATCTTTCTTTGTTGAAATCAGGTCTCTCTTGTAAATGAGTCCTCGAGGCTCAATGGGATTTACCTGTCTAAATAAAGGTTGAATGAAAAATACCACCTCTCTCTTCAACTGGATCCTGGATTTACTGACTTGGAGACCTCAGTCCACCTGGATCGGAAAGACCACCTCCAGCACCACCACACTGAGCACTGGAGTTCCCCATGGCTGTGTGCTCAGTCCACTGCTGTTTACTTTGCTTACTGTAAAGCAATGCACAGCTCGAATTCCATCGTGAAGTTTGCAGATGACACGACTTTTGTTTTGCACGTTATATTCTGTGTTGCACCGCGATCCTGGAGGAACGCTGTTTCGTTTCAATATGTACTTGGACGTAGCTGAAATGACAATAAAACCTCTCCAGTGTTACCCCTAAATAACTTGCCGTGGTGGGACGCTCATCTCGTCCGGGGGTGGGGGGTGGAAGACATAGACACAGCTGAGCTGCGTACTGTTTGTACTGGCAGTTTTCAAACGGGGGGGGGGGGGGGTCAGCATGAGGGAAGAGGCAGCGTGAGCTACCTTTAACATTTTAGCTAGCATGCCTGTATTGCGTGCCGCTAGCTTAGCGCTATGTCAGTGCTGACAGGTGGGGGTGACGCAGTTCGGTTCGGTAGGCGGTGCGCTTGGTTCTCTTGATGGGGCGGGGCGTCCCGCTTGTATAATGGTAGGGGAAACACACGTATCCTCCATCCATCAGAGCGTGCTGTACGCATGATAACTTGAACAATAATCGAGGTAGCGAGCGGCCGATTCTAGGCGTAAAAGCTGTTTGTATAAACCAACCATCACTATCAGTTGAGGAAATTATGCTTTCTAGTTTTTATTGCTTATAAGAATTGTTTCCTCAAATGATTGGGGTGGCCGGAGAATAATCTACT